GATCAGCCTAAATGCATCTATGTTCGCTCGAATCATTCGTAATCCAGCCTCATCTACAGAAGTGAGTATAAGGGTTTTTTATGAATCTTTGCAAATCACCTTTCCTAATAATGCGCTAATTAGCAAGTTTCACGATGAATGCAAAGTAAAGTAAATAGTCTCTCTGAGAGTAGAGAGGGGCGGGGCCAGCAGAGCTCATTAACATTTAAAGCAACATGGACTATAATGGCTTGATAAAAACAGAGCTGATTTTGACAGGTTTAAAAATGTGTTTTTTACACTAACATTGAGACATTTTAACCAAAGTATGTTATAGACTTTTAATTAAGACCCTAAAGAATCATATCAACTTGTGCAAAGTGAGCATCCTTTATGACCCCTTTAATATAATTATTATTAGTATTATTTGTATATATTATTTATTAATATTGTTTTTTACCCCTCTATCTGCCTGGTCTTATAATATCTTGAAGTGTCTATTAGGGTTTTACATAAAATCAACAACAACAACATCATCATCATCAACAACAACAACAAACTGTCAATTAGGTACTTTTATTTTTTTTAATGACGTGAAACTGTAGCAAAAATTACAGTGATCTAACAACAGTTATTAGCAGAATACATTAATGAATGACAATGGAAATTGAACATAAATAAATGCTTAAAGAAGTAAAACAAAATATAACATAAAATAGTGTATTGAAGACCAAGCTCCAGTGAAATATCTTCACAATCCTCTATGATCACTAAGTTAATCATTATGTGTATTTTGGTGTGATTGAGTGGCAGTTTCTTTCTGCAGGTGATGAGGTTGTAGGATGTGACAGCATCTGAAATGCACAATTGAGTTTAGATATACAGTTCGTCTCTTTTCATTTGTTTATGTGAAAACAATTGTTTATGAAGGCCAAAAGTAGTATGTGAGCACTTCACAATGTTAAAAGGAAAAAATAATATAAAGTCATGGGATAGCTGGGTATGTTTATGCATAAACCCTAGTAATAAAAAATATCTAACAAAATGGACCA